CCCCCTCCCACCCCTCTCGCTACTGTGCACAGTTATAGTGGTGTTGCACAACGACGTATTTCGCTCTACATTTATCGGCGATTTTATCGCGACGTATTACCTCCGAACGTGTCATTAAGCCGATGAAAGAAACGTTTGATTTCGCTCTCCACTACTCTCCTCGCTTCTTGCCTCCGCAGAGGAACGCGACGCGAAAGGTTATTGGCTCCGACGTCGGGCTTAACGATCCGATGTTTCCATAAATATCCTCGGCATTAGGGTTTATTAGAAATTTATCTGCGATCAGTTTTCTACAGATTTCGAATGATGTAATTTTTTAGCATGCGTCACACTCGCCACCGCGAGTGATATCGGATCAACATCATTGATATCTGAACAACAGTTAATTTAATATTACTCGTATTAATTATATTAATTAACGCTACGGGAAAATTTAGATTAATTACCGCAATATTGTAATTGTGTGTTGACTGATATATTCGTTTTCTCACGATCCTATCGTACACGAGAGAGTTAGAGATACAAAACGCACAGTGAGACGAGAGCTATCCAAGCCTGACAGAAAGTATAAAAATTTAAATCTCCAAGGAAGCGTTTGATGTACGTATTATTAATGAAAAACACATTCATATTTCTAATACATGTTTGTCATTTTGATTGCGGCTGCTACTATCATCTATCCGTCGAAGATTAACGAAAATTAAGATCAAGCCCACCGTTCGACGTCGCGAGAATGTTATGCAAACGCACGTATATATTATTGCAACACGACGTAAACGCATTTCTAAACAGGATTACTTTATCGCGCCAAAGTATCGCGCGGACCGCACTAAATACCCAGCAATGTATTACGTTAAATCCGTGACCGTTTCGACGTTATTTCAACAACAGTCCACGCCGGGCAGCATTAAGAACTTTCCTAATCGTATGCCGCTGCCACCACCTCCACTCCGCCGTCAACACCGCCAGCATCTATGGAAATCCCGCTAACCGTGATATTTCATTATCACCGGGCGGACAGCGCGATTTCTCCGTTAGCAGAACTACTTGATTATGTTAAGCCAGGCGACATCGTGTTTGGCCATGCATGCTCAGGGCGTGCACTCCGACGGACTTGACCAAGTTGGCGAGAGCGCCCAAGGTGAAGAGTAATAGACAGGAGGTCGACGAGTTATGCACGAGGTACGAGATATAGTGAAGTGTAATACTACGTGCGCGAGAGTATAATAACGTTAGTGCAGCTAACTAACTAACTTTGCCCCGATGTAGTGCCTACCTACATCAAGTCGAGTCCTTAGTTGTTTAAAACGTGAACAGGTATGCGGAAATATACGCGACGCACGATAAAGTGGACCGGAAAAAGAACCGACGTGCACGGATACATTGAAATAGAGTAGAATCTTAGATATAAATCAGTGCTCGGAATTACTTGCACCTTCGAGGTGATTTTCGAAAGATGTGCTTATTTTCCTCCCCTTGCCTCTTCCATTCGCCGAGTCAAGCGATTAACAGTCGCAGCGCACAACCTCAGGGGAATCGACAAATTTATAAAACCTGAAAGGCGTCTTCAATTATTGAAAAGCTCTTATCGAAAACCGCGAATCCATCGTTGTGATTATGATAATAGAGAAGAAGCGGTTCAAAACTGACATACCATTTTATTTTCGAGCTTTAAAGCCCTACTGTAAAATAAGCTCCAAGTAACGTCACGAGTCATAAGAGTTAATTGAAAAATTCAGATCTGTCTACAAATTCAAATCTGAATATCTCATGTGAGGCAAGTTCTAAGTGACGACTGAAGCTAATAGGATTATTATACAAAAAGTAATAAACCGTCATTTCACAAATCAAATTTGCCCAAAAATAGATTTAGTGAAAAATACGCAAAATATTCAAAGAATACTCGTTAGAAACAGAGAGAAAATTACATTTGAAATCGCTGATTAATTAATTTGTTTTCTCTTCGACTGAAAGATAACGAGGAACGCTATTGTAAGACAGAGTTTAAAAATTTGTTGTTAAAAATATCGCGACCTCACAAATATCACGGATATACCACAGAAGTCAATAAAAAAAAAAGTCAAATCCGACTGCAAATTCAGGCCGGAGTATCTCGCGTGAGACGAGGCTCAAGTAACGACTATTAATATAGGCCACGGTCGCTGGCACGAATCGCGCGAGATACGATGCGCGCGCGGCTCCTTTTCACAATGGTTGATCGAGCGAGAGAAAGCGATGCGTAAAGGTACGATAAGATCCATCGGCCCGGTAATCACAATAGACGGCGGCGGCGACGACGACGGCGCGATCGAACGCCGTTTATTTGCAGCGCTGCGTTTGACACGTTCGGTTAAACGATCTCGCAAAACGCCTCTCGGGAACAATCAAAGTGTAATAGAATGTTCCCGATAAATTACGCACGTCCTGTGCGCGCACTCTCCCGCCACTCCCCCCGCGTAATGTCCGCGTCGTTCGCATAATATCGGTGCGAGGATGAATAAAAACACGGGCGTTCCGTGCGCACGACCAACGTTACGTAACGCGCGCGCGCCATACAGCCGACAATTATAATTTATAAGCGCAATCTCTCGCGGGTGCGATAATTTTGGCCGTGAAAGTGCCATCGTCGCTCGAGTTATCGCAGCGCGCGTGCGGCGTTTCTCCCGAAGTATCGAGAACGCAAATGTATCGTCGGGACGCGGTTTTCGACCGTGCGTTTCAATCGTCTTTGACCTCTCGTTCTCTCACTCCTCCCTCCCTCCCTCCCTCTCTCTCCATCGAAATCGACATTCGGATAGAATCGAATTCGTCGCTTTAATCGCGCCCGAACTGCGAGCGCGGCTAATTCGCGTTAACCGGCCTTTAATCTGACGACCCGGTTCGGAAGTTTCGTATGTTTTATTCAAAGCGTTTGGCATTAGTGCGGGCAGCGACGGCGGCAATGACGGCGGCAGCGGGCTCGTTCATCATATGTCAGGCCGCGATAATCGAGCATTTTCAAAAGTGATTAAATTGTCAACAGTTGTTCGCCCAATGCCGCAGGCCACGGCCTTTCTTTCAACCTTAGCGTCGCACACTGGATATCGATAATTTCACGAAATCGTCCTGACCGCCGACGTTACATCAAACCTGGTGAAATTTGTCAAATGCTAAACCGAGATCCTCTATTCCCGCGAGGCTGGAGGTGAACGCCGACCGACGGATATTTGCAATCTTTGGAACGTACCGTCATAACGGCGTGTAACTTTCGGGGATGTTGGGGTGTGCTGGAATGGGGCGGTATGTACGCTATGTCTGAGAAAAATTCGAAATTGATTTATCGATGGATCGCTGATTGAAAAATCGTTCTACGAAACCGACAGAATCAAACGTGGGCCGGCCGGCCGGATCGCCGCTTGAAATTCATGAATTCCGTCATATCTATAACCAATTAGGTCACACACGCCGCACAGAAGCCGCTGGCCGGTTCTGCTCCGAGGACTTTAATGAAAGCCTTTCAAAATTCGTCGGACGTCCCGTTCTTTATCGAGGCAATTAGAATTCCTATGCGGCCTGCATAAACTATCGAATACACTCGGCGGCCGAATTACCGAAATGTTAGTTAACCGCGACTGAACGTAGCGCGCGCGCGGTTACGTTCGATGACCCCCGACGGCGACGACGACGACGACGACGACGATTGATTTTAACGGTACACGAGAGAAGGGAAGGACGAAACGAGCGTATAACCGACGCGGAAAAATAACCCGCTCGTTTCATTTTCCTTCAAGAACAACGACGGGAATGCAGTGTGTGTGTGATGGCTTGCGGAGGTTCATTGAGGGTTTAGACGGTGAGTCCACTCCGATTAAATGTGCGACTCCAAGATGCGCGAAGGCGGGTCAAGGCGCGCGCGCAGAAAGTGGAGTATAAAAATTTAATATTAAACGGTGACCTACTTATCCGTATTGCGCTCGAAAATTTCTCCAAGTAAAGTCTCACTGAAAACGAGTGGACATTCACTCGAGACGGCGGTTAAAAATACTGTGGGCAGGAATGAATATTTAACGCAAACTCCTTAGAATAGGTTCTTAACGCTTGCGAGTGAATGTTTCAGTGGGGCGAGGAATTTGTTTCGGTGAGGCGGTGAGAGGTACGTCAGATTCATTGTCTAATTTCGAATGAAAATATTCAATCGACGATTCGAAGTGGAGAATTCATGTTATATGAATAAAAAGTTACTCGACTTCAAGTGACTCGGCTATCACTCCGCTTGTTTGCTATGAATTTGCTATGAATTTTTTAGGATAAGATCTTTTTAAAAAAAAAAGGGAAATTCACTCGAAACGTATTAATAAAGATCTCAAAATTACAGAAATAAATATTTAACTTGAACTTGACTTAAATAGATTCTTGATACATATACAAATGAATGCTTTAGTCGACTAGAGCGAATTTGTCCCAATGAAACATCAGCAGATTTATTCTTTAATATTGAACGAAAATATCAACTCGACGATTCGGAAAAATCACTCGGTATGAATAAAAAGTTTCGACTTCGGTTATCACAGTGCTTTTGGAATCTCAACGGAAAGGATTTCAAAAGCACACGCGATAAGCAACGAGAAGACGACTTATTCGTAAACAGATGTCCCGACACGTCTCCCGATGTCGTTCGTCACGAGGCTCGCCGTGGCAAACCTCTCGCAAACTAATTATTAGCTATAATATAACACGCTGCTCACCGCATCTCGGCAACGGCGCTTGTTGTTTTGCATAACGATAGGCCAAATAAACCGATGTTACCTCATTAAGTATGCATTACCTTAACAAGGCGAGTGTACACAAGAAGGAAGCTGCATAACCAGGGACGATATACTGCTTGTTGGGGAAGCCCCTCCGGGATTCTCAAGTCCGCTAATAACTATCGATACCCGGCGCGTATCATCAGTTATCGCGACAGTTAAGATCCATCGGCGGCGAAATATCGCGCGTACGCGCGCCTATTATGCGCAACTCACCTGATGCCACCGCGAGTGGTGTCGTAGTTCAGCGTACGGGTTCCGTGTCGCCACGTAACATAGCCGGTGGGCTGTGGTATATTGCTGACTACACACTTCAGCTCTATTGTGCTGCCTGCTTTATAGAACTTGTCGCCGGCCGTGGCGCCATGCTCATCGACTATTTCCACCTTTGGCACTGCAACAGAAATTAATTAGTTCGCAGCGTGTGTGTACACGTTGTCTCAGCAGAGGCCGATTCGGATTCTATTCCATGCGACTTAACGAAAAATAAAGCAAGGCTCGTACTATCTCTCCTTATCTCTCTCTTTTATTGAAAACGAAATCTTATATATTTTCTTTAAATAATACTGTTCTTCCTATCAAACAACATAGTTCCTTTAGTTTTACTCTAGTGAAACATTTTCGTCTAAACAAAATGATATTTAATATTAAATTATATCGTTATATTAAACAAACCTTTTCCTCTGTGCATAGCAGGACGTTTAATCCTACGAATGAAAGAACGAACGAATTCTAACAAATCGGTAATCAGGCGACGATTAAATGCCGCCGATAATAGATTGAGCGATCGCACTTTCGCGAGTGTTAGATTCAAGATCAAAGTGGCACGGCGTCATTGAACGTGCAACCAAATGAGGCTTCGGGGTTCGAACAGAAGGGCGCATTAGTTGCGGTTCCAAGAGCGAAGTCCCGCTTAATTACTGTCGTAAAGCAACGGGAAATCGTTGCTTTTCCTTTTTAGTCCCTCGTCCCTCGTTTTTCGATCACAACGTATACGCGCCCAGGTCGAGCCACGGAAATTTACCTCGTTTACGGATTCTCGTAGATCCGATGTATGCGGCGTACCGCTCGTCTCTGGCGGACAAATAAAACGCAAAGTAAGTAGTCTCGTCACCTATCTCTCTCCCCCTCATCACGTATGGCTGTCGAGTCCACTCCCATTGAGATTTTCCCATTCTCGCACAAAGTTTTTATATAGATTCGCATAGATAGAACACACGATACGGATGATAAGTGCACGATTAATCGCGTCTCAAGTGTGGCGTCATGGAGATAAGCGCTTCGGCAAGCAACGGACGATGTGACTTATCTACCATCAAGCACACAACAAGTCGCGGCAACAGCATCCGCTTGGCCGGATGCAAAACACGAGGAAAAAGGGGTAGCGGTACTGCGGCCGGGAAATGAGAGAAACGAGTGCTTTCTTATTACACTTTCCGCGTGGAGCGACACCGTGCCAATACCACAGAAGAGAGAGGAAAAAAGAAAGGGGAGTAGGGGGAGAAGAGGAAGAAAGAAAGAGAGAGGAAGAGAGAGAACAAAAGGAGAAAGAAGAGCAATGGAAAAAATACTGGGAAAAGCAGAAATAACGGGGTGTGAGACAATTGCCGCAAGGAGAACGAGCGAACCAACTATAAATACGAGACGAACAATTGGGGAGAGAAGCCTTTTGGCTTCGTGGCGCCAGCTAATCAAAGACCTTGGCGGCAGGATTTCGCATCGCTCTCTCTCGCTCCCGTGTCCCGCTGGAACCGGCGTTCAAACAATAGCGACAAACTTTTGAAACGTCCATTTGGGAAAAACTCCATTTGCACCCAAATGAAGGCCACTGACTGCCCTCGCCCGTCTACGCCCGCCCGTCCGTCCGTCACCTCCTTTCTCGTCCGCGATTCAGCGTTCCGCGCCAACCTTGTCGCTCCTATTCAATCTGTGCCACACGGACGACACGCGCGTATTGTTATAGCAACGGGCGGGAGACCGAGAGCGACGCATCTATGCGTTAACTATCCACCATTGTGTCCCTCGTCATTACCAACCACTTTCCTACCTTTTTCCATCACGGGGCAACGAAGCTCGCTACGTCCGTCGGGAAACGAGAAGAACAGTCGCACCCTCCTCATCCCGCGTGAAAACAGTCCGAAACGCAGACCAAAGGCGACATTTGACCGAGATTTTTTCGACGGTGGAAACATGAACGCGCAGTCAACTCGCCGCCCTCCCCCCCCCCCGGATTTTCATTCACTTTTGCTTCTTTATTTATCAAGTTACCGGCGGTCTCCCTTGCGGTCGGTGTACACTGAATACATGCTTTGAAGACGGCTTGTGGCGCGCACGTCCTTTGAGAGTTGCTTTCTTTCGCACAACTCGCGATGTCGCCATCGCGCGCGGTTTCTCTCTCTCTCTCTCTCTCTCCTCCTGCGTCTTCACCGGCGTGCTTCTTATGTGATATAAAAAGGGAGATATTCGTGGTGAACTCTTTCTGTCTCTCCGCTTTTAACCCCGGGGCGCGCGTACATTCCTGTCGACGTGGAACTCAAAGAGAGAGAAAGAAATTTAGCTTGAGTCAAAAGGGGGAATGTGTATTCGAACGGTGGGATATGCGGATTGTTTTATTTACAAATTCAACGCGCTTTGACGGAGCCGCATTCGCCGTCGCGTTCGTCGTCCCGCTTCGCTTTCACGACGCCGCCGTCCCGCCGAGGTTACCCCAGCGAGCGATGCCATCGATCTCCGCGCGGCAGACAATGTACGTGCGAGTGGCGCGGACGCAAATTTCGGTTTGTGACTTAAATTACGTGCTAATTACGCCACTCTCGTCACACACACACATACACACACACCGTGGAAACGTTAATACACGCTGCAAAACTTGCACCTGTGAAAAAAATAAATGGATTACCAACAAATGGGAAATGTCGCCGTACATTCGCCCGCGGCTGCGCAGCATTCCGCGTTCCGCATTTTCGCCGGCATTATCACACTGCTCGCTACACGACACTTTAACGAGAGCGGGACTGACGAAGAGAGAGGGAGGGGTGAAAGAGAGATGACCACGGGTAATCTACTCGCGGGACTATTGTAATTGGAAATAAAAAACGTGATCGTTTCCGTTCGGCCGCCAGGAAATTTTCCGAAATCAACACAATGACGCGTCAGTTCACAATCGTCTATAGCGCACAATCCGAGCGTCGAAATTAAAAGACTCGGAGAGCGCTTTGTACCGTGCGACTGAGAGAGGCAATGAGATTAACGCTACGTTTCACGAACATTTCGGCGGAACGTCCTCTCTGTATTTCGTGTCCCGGGGGCGCGCGCGTGCGCGCCTCTTGTGCGCCCGCAAACGGCCGCGTGCAATTACAAGCAGGCACTTTGAACACGAGACCCATCGTTGGTACGTGGTTTACTGCGTGTCGTGCGACACGCCCAGCAAAATTACTACCAGCTAGGTGACGGGGTACCGTAGGTGAGTGGAGGTGAGCGTAGGTGAGCGCGCGAAAGAAATCAGAGAGGACGAGAGAGAGAGAAGGGGGAAGAAGCGGTGAGATTCGTTGCGCGAGCAAAACCAAACGGAGTCGAGAAGTTTGACGGGAAACCGGAGATGTATCAGGAATTCCTACAGGGAAACCGTGGCGAGCAACCAATCTGAAGTTTACCTGTCTAACTTTTACCTTTTCCCTCTGCACACACGCATACACCCACACACACACACTCTCGCATGCAATGCATGCGTATATAGATTTCGCTCGTGATCCCATTCCCGTCGTCGCATACATTTCTCATGCCGCATCTCGTGTACACTATCAGAAATCAACGATACTCTATCGCAATTGAAGACGCCGCCTCCGAGACGATCGAGTGGACAAGGATATCGAAATGATACAGATACCTTCGCGCGAAGCGAAGAGACCGTCCACTGTCCGTTGAGCTTCGGCAAAGCACGGACTATTAATAAAGGCTCATTTAATGGAACATAATTTGGATTTCTTACAGGACGATTCGTTGAAAAACTATGGAATCATCAGGAATCTATAATGTTCCGATTGAATATACGATCGGAGAAAAAGCGAAGGAAAAGAGGAAGACAAAAATAGTTACCACCTCACTCTCTCCAACAATTATCACACGCAGCGTGCACGTATCACATTGACGTAGCTCGTACATCACTCATCGGTGGGTCGGAAAAAAATACGTGGGAAGTCCTCCGGCCGTTAACAGACCGAATGACACGCGGTGTGACGTCGCGCGACCTCGAACATGAATTTAGGCTCGAACGCGTGAGACAGTCCGGCGCGCGGACAATCTACACACGTGTCCCCCGGGGGAGGACACGGGGGTCGCGCGCATATGCACGCGCTCAACCCGGAGGTCACGCGTGTATGCATATGCATCTCCCCCGGAACTACTCGCGCAAGCAGCGAGAGATTGTGAGCAGTATGCATGGGAATCACGTTGTTGATGTACGAGTGGAGCGGCGCGCCCGTATACGGCATATGTCGCCGCGATGCAGCGCGCGGCGCGTTACTTTCCGACCTCAAACCGTCTCGCACACCGCGCTGCCGCTTTGCTATCCACCCCATGGAAGTCTTACGACCCACTATTTTCGCATAGAGGTAAACATTCCAGCCGCATTTTACAACGGGAATAAACCACCGTTATTCTCTCTCTCGGTCATCCGCGAGCGACGATAGCAGCGGCGGACCGACCGCAACGTCTAAAAATAACCCTCTCCACCTTTCCGTTGTTGTAGCCCGTCGTGTATATCTCGTAGCCGTCTCTTACAACGTATCAGCGTCTCCACAACGCGACTCCAACCTATCCTTGTCTCTCCTTTTGATCACCTACCGCCGACTACTATGTCCCTTTCTTCCGTTTCCTCTCCATTCACTTGTCTCTGCCAATGTACACTCGTCGCGTCGCGTGCGCCGGGCCGAATTCGAGCGCGCGCCTTTGTGTGTCGCATCGCGCGATAATGGACAGACAAATTGTTCTCTTTAGCCGCGAGGCAAGGATAAACGTGACTGCATTGACAAAGTTAATACTCTTCGCGGAGAGCGGCAAAGGAAAAGAGAGACGATCTAGCGACCACCTTCGCCACGTAAACGTAGACCGAAAGCAATGCCGAATGACGATCTACCGGTAAATTGATATACAGGTTTGTACCTGTATATATATTTGTATTGTGTGTATGTATATATATAGACAAAATAATTTATTCCTCACTAACTATTGCGAATTTTGCAAAATGGTATATGACTTTTCTGCTCAGTTTCATCCGTTTAACTTGCACACTACGGGAACTGAGATTAGTTTGGAACACCCTGTATATATATTTGTATATATCTATATAACTGTATCTTTATATCTGTATATCTTTACCACCTACATGTGTACATC